GATGATGTCGTTATTATATAATGATTTATTCAAATTGCTCTCTTCATCTTGGTTGTCATAGTAATAACATTTCGGCCATTGTCTGAAGGATTTCCAATTTTTGGAAATCTTTTGCTTTGTCCATTTATCTGGAGATGCTATTGCTGACTGCAATGTTGTCTTTCATAGCCTTTTGGAAATTCTGAACTAAACCCTTTATTCAATCGAAAATGGTCAACTGTTCTTATACTGCTGTCTATGGCAAGGGTAGATAACTCATACTATTTTTGTTTTCATTTTTTTTATTAATGTTCTTCCAATACAAAGCCCAAGAGCCACTGAAGGTAGAGAGTTACTGTGTGGTGTTATATGAGCATATGAAAGGATAAGAAGTGAATGATAAGTTCATTTTAAACTTGAAGAGGTCAAGATTGTAGTTATTAAGAAAATATCCTGCCAGGAGTCTCTTCCACAAAGCAGCCATTATTGGGAAGAAGCTATCCAATCTTTACTAATGGAATACAAAGGGAATGAAGATGATTCACCCTTGTGTATGTGGCATGGCAGGTTCCACTTGTAAAGGTAAACCCTGGTGAGACTAAGGAATGATGCATGTCATAAAACCTGCTATGCAAATAGCAATAGAGCAACAAAAGGCTTCCAAAGTTTTATCTGTGGGAAAGAGATTGTAGAGTGGAAAATAATTCATCTACAGTGCTGTGCAGATGCTTTTAGATGCTATCATGACAGGCAACTTCCATCCCAGATATGGCAGCAATACACCATTTTTGGTCTGATGTGACTCTTGTAAAGATAGAACAAGGCATAGGAAATCAGGTACTTTTTAAAGTGATACAAGTTGGAAAGTGAGGATTGGGCAGCTCCAGACCAGATATGGCAGCAATACACAATTTTTGGTCTGATCTGACTCTTGTAAAGATAGAGAAGGTATAAGGAGTCAGGTACTTTTTAAAGTGATACAAGGGAAAGTGAGGATTGGGCAGCTCCAGCCCAGATATGGCAGCAATACTCCATTTTGGTCTGATCTGACTCTTGTAAAGATACAAGCAGGGAAGGAGTCAGGTACTTTTTAAAGTGATACAAGTTGGATGAGGGGGCAGCTCCAGCCCAGATATGGCACAATACACCATTTTGTTCTGACCACTCTTGTTGATAGAGCAGGGTCTTGATACAAGATGGAAAGTGAGTATTGTGCAGCTCCAGCCCAGATATGGCAGCAATACACCATTTTTGGTCTGATCTGACTCTTTTAAAGATAGAGAAGGGTATAAGAGTGGTACTTTTAAAAGTGATACAAGCTGGAAAGTGAGGATTAAGGCAGCTCCAGCCCAGATATGGCAACAAGATAGAGAAGGACTCTTGTAAAGATAGAGCAGAGGTGTCAGGTACTTTTTTAAAGTGATACAAGTTGGAAAGTGAGGATTGGGCAGCTCCATTCCAGATATGGCAGCAATACACATTTTTGGTCTGATTTTAAAGTCTGAAGGTATGAGTCAGGTACTTTTTAAAGTGATACAAGTTGGAAAAGATTGGGCAGCTCCAACCCAGATATGGCAGCAATAAATTTTTTGGTCTGAGACTTGTACAATGTATAAACTAGACCGGTACAATGAACTGACCATTTTCTCTTCATTTTTAGCAATAGATTGGATATATGAGTTTTACTTGAGGTCTGAGGAGAACTTGAGTCCCAGTTACCATATATAGGGTGATTCCAATAAATTGGATTGATTTTAAATGTGAATTAAGTTTAAGTGTCTAATGATTTTTTTTTCTTTTTCTTTCAGATTTAATAACTTAGGTCTTTGGCAGTTTCAACCATGGAAAAATTAACAATCAAATAACATGTTAAAGTTTCAAGAGTGCAGTTGGAAAAATTGTTTGTAAATTCAAACAAACTGGGTTGGTGGCAGATGTGAAAACACCATTGCGTGCTCGTTTATGCTCGTTTACATTGCTGAAGTGCATGAGAAGGTGGCCGAAAATCCAGACACCTCTATTCATCATCACATGCAGGAATTAACCTGCTACACAACAATGTTTCATCGTTTCCTTTGCACTCTTGGTTGGTTGATTATGTTGATCAAAAAAAATCGCAAAATGCGCAAAATCCATTTCTGTTTGAATGTTCATTTTTGTAATAGGCTTTGATAACTGATGTAATAGAATAACCTGTCACCCCCATGAGTGACTACACTATAGGTAGTAACTACCTATGAGTATTTGTAAGGCAACAGACTACAGGAGTCTAGCCTGAATCTGTTGAGTACGACTCAGACTTAAGCAAGAACTACCAACCTTCCAATAGTAGTACTCACTACTGGATTGACTTGCGATGATTGTGTGCATAATTGTTATCTTATTTCTTATTGTATTGGTTATTACAATAAACCTTTACTTATTTTATCCACTGTGTTTGTCAAGAATATATTCCTATTAGCATGGAATATAACACAAACTAACATGTTGTTTGATTGTTAATCTTTCCATAGTTGAAATTGCCAAACCCTTAAGTTGTTAAATCTGAAATAAAAAGAAAAAAAATTATTAGACACTTAAACTTAACCCGTTAACTGCCAAATTTTTTTAATGTGCATTTTTGGCCCAGACAGGTGTCTTAGGAGTTTATTTATTTTTTATGTTTAATTTCAGTACTTACCATTGTTGTTTTTTATAAAAACTAGAACATCAAATATATATGTCTATAAAACATCAAAAAATAACATTGATTAGAAATAATTAAAAAATACTTTCAAAATAGTCATTATTTTTCTACTCATAAAATGTAAAATTACAACAGAAAGTGTCTTCTTACAGCTAATAATAAAAACTTTAAAGGCTAAGTGTTGTAAAATATACCTCTGCAAATGCAATGTATGTAAGTAATTCAATGTAAATACAAGGAATAATATGTAGTGAGTTTAATTTTAACAGATCCCCAAATGGGGCTCATGGCAGGTAATCAGTTAATTCACATTTAGAATCGGTTCAAGTTATTGGAACACCCTTTATTTTGGTGTATAAAACACACTTTCTTACTCCAAAACAATAGCTAAGAAGGGAAAAAATTACAAGATCTTGAAAACAATCTCTACTATGAATGTGTTGTAGATCAAAGAAGGCAAGGTCTCTCCATTTCTATAAATAAGATCATTTTTAAAGCAAAAGGGAATTCATGTGATAATAATTTAGATTTTGCTGGTCATGCATTGTGATGTTATCAGTGCAGGAAATAGAAAGGCCTTTTATTAGGAGAAATAAAACTGGATTAATGAATAAATTATCATGCTTGCTTAGGTGTGTGTGTGTGTGTAAAAATATTTGTATGAAAAAAGGGTGATATAGCGATTAAGATATTTAAGAAATGTATCAGTAATGCAATGGATTGAACCAAAGATGAAATGCGCTTTGACCATTATTATCTAATAATGAAATGTCTGATCCTTTTCTACGTGACAGTGAAAGCAATGAGGATAATATTCTCTTTGATACTAATATTGGATCCAATGATGATCCCTTTTTTCAAGCGATAATAAAAGCAAGAAGGATTTTTTAGGTTTTGAAATGAATTAAATAATAGTCATTTTTTTTTTTTATTTGTGGTATTTTTTTTTTTCAATTTGATGTCTTTAGTTGTGTTTAGAACAATATATATATATATATATATATATATATATTATTTTTTTAAAGTATCAGAGTTAATTTTTTTTTTAAATAAAAATCTTTCAAAAAAAACTAGCTATCTTTTTCAAAAACTGTGTTTTTAAAATAAGAATGCATCTTATACACCTTTTTTCTTTTTATGCGCCATGTCCTTTCAGGACGTAGGCGATCATGGCTCTCCACCTCCCTCTATCCCTTGCAGCTCTCAAAAAATTCCTTCCCTCTTTCACCTCCTTCATCCACTTACTTAAAGCCTCTAGGTATGTTATGCCTCATACACCTGGGTTTCTTATATTCTGTAAAAAACAACCCAAAAAAAACAGTAATTTGTCTTTGTGATGCTAATTTTGCATTTTCTAATAAACCATAATACAGGATGTCCATAAAGTTCGTGTGCACTTTAAAAAATTATAACTTTATTTGTATTTTCGATAGAAATAATTTGTAAAAAGGATTAGAAAGAAGTAAATCTATATTTTTTTGAGGTTTTATTGAAATTTTATTTAAGTTTCCACATGTTCTCCATCATCAGCAATACAAAGGGTAATAGGATTTTGCAGTTCACGGAAAACATTTGCCAACTGATTTACAGTAGTAATGCCTGAAATCACATTAGTTATTTTAGCTATACTTAAAACTAGGTACATTCAACTTTATAGCATTTTTTTACAGATTATTTCTATTGCAAATACAAATAAAGTTATAAATTTTTTAAAGTGCACACAAACTTTATGGACACCCTGTATTATGGTTTATTAGAAAATGCTAGGGATTGAACTCATAATTACTAGGAAAAATGCATATGCTCAACTACTGGTTTAGTGTAATGAGTAGAAGCAGCATCACAAGGATGAATTAACTAATCTGAAAGTATCCCCTAGAATGGGAAGAGAAAAATTATGTCACACTATAATATGGATTAGAATAAAGGGTTCATTTACTGATAAAATTTTAGACCTCAATGAGTTTGATCCTATTCTCAAACTATAGAGCTGTACCAGCAAGTGCTAGTTGTTGTTGTAGTGATTTATGTGAAATGGTTAGGTCATGAGGGTATTGGTAGAAGCAAAAATAAGTAAATATAGAAGATGACCTTTTGTATCTTCAAATCTTGTTCCACTGCCAATTTTTTGTGCTGTGCATTTCATGAAGGGTAAAATATTTCTTTAAAAAATAATCTGTCCCAGAAAATGCTAAAAAAAACTTTTGATTGGAAGAGGAAAATCGAAATGAAAGTAACAGAAGATGGAATTAAGGAAAAGGAATGAAAAAGAAGAAAAGATGGCAAGTAATTGAAGGATAAAGAAGTGAAAAAAAAAACCTCCCAAAAAACTGACAGAATTAGAAGAGGAAAAAAGGGAAAAGAAGAAACAAATAAAAAGGTAATGTAGATGGAGTGAAGAAAAAGGAAAGAAAAGGACACTTATAGGGAAGGAAAAAGAGAAAGAAGAAAAAAAAGAAAGTAAAGAAAGGAGAAGAAAGTAAGAAGAGGGAGAAAAAATAAAAATAAAGGTTTTGTAATGCCCATTTGTAGGAGAGACTTTGTAAATCAAAGATACAATAATAGTAACACCTTCAAACAATACTCAGTTAGACACTGCTAATTCCCATATATTTTTCCTTTACCCATCATGAAATGTAATTATAAGATGAGGTCGACTGTGCTTGCTCTCTGGCTATCCGTGTTCAAACCCAAGTGTCAGCAGTGTCACTTTATTCCTATATTACAAAAGGGAAGGTAAGTAAATAAAGGAAGAAAATGAAGGAAACAAGAATCAGAAAAAAAGATGAGGAATGAGAAAAAAGAGGTGGATAGAAAGGATTTGAAGAAATGGAGACTGTGAAGTAGAGAAAAAGTGAAAAAGAGAAAGAAAGACAGATACATTAAATGAAGAAGTTGAAGAAGGAGAAAGGAAGAAGTGACAGAAATAAGAAATTCACAAATAAATAGAAAGAAACCAAGAAGAGAAAGAAGAAAAGAAGAAGAGGAAGAAGAAGAAGAAGAGTGTAGAAAGAAAAGATAAAGAGAAAACATTAAGGGTGACAAGAATAGAAAGAGAAATAGTGAAGGATAGGAAAGAATGGAGAAAGAAGGAAAACAAAGTAGAAGAGAAAAGGGAAAGAAAAAATAAAAAAATAAAAGCAATAAAAAGAGAATGGAAGAAAAAATATATGAAGCTGTGGAGAGCCATGATCACTCACATCTTGAAGAGAGATGTCACAGAGAGAAAGAAAGTTTTATTCCAAATATGTAAACCTTGGTCTTGTGCTTGACTAAGTTTCGTAAAAAAAAAAAAAAAATAATAATACAGGAACTTGTGGAGAGCCATGATCACTCACATTCTGAAGGGACATACATACACAGATGAGAGAGAAACTGTTCTATTCTTAATAGATATGCCACTGCTATTGCCACCTTCTCAACTAATCTTACTAAAAAAAGAAAAAATTAATGGAAGTTGTGAAGAGCCATGATCAGCTATGTCTTGAAGGGACATGGCACAAAGAATGTGAGAGGGAGGGAGAGAGAGAGGAAGAGAGAGATTATTCTATTTTTAATTGGTACTCCTTGGGTATAGCTTTCTGCTTGCCAAAACTTGGTAAAAAAATTAGAGGAGGATGTGGAGAGCTCTGATCGCCTACATCCTGAAGGAACATGAGAAAGAGAGAGATTTTACTATTCTTAATTTGCACACCATTGGTATAGATTTCTGCTTGACAAATATTAGTCAAAATCTCAAGCTTTCCAAACTGGTGTGCCATGACACTATAATTAATTACTCATTCTCTTTTTTTAATTATTAACTAAAATTTTGTCTATATTTCTGAGATGAGGTATTATGTACATTATTTACATTATTCAGATTATTGTCCTCATCTTTGTTGCCATATTTATTACAACGTTTCGACCATTGTACGCTCCGGCCTTCTTCAGGTGGTTGGAATGTCGAACTGAAATAATGTACATAATACCTCATCTCAGAAATATGGACAGATATTGAAGGATCAGTATGGACCCGATATACCAAAAATATGGAGACAAATTGAAAAATCCTACCAGAAACTGGCATGAATATCGAACCATCTTTTCAGTTCAACATTCCAACCACTTGAAGAAGGCCAGAGTGTACAACGGCCGAAACATTGTAATAAATATGGTGACAAAGATGAGGACAATAGTCCAAATAATGTAACTAAGTTTTTAATAATTTGTTTTTAATTATGGTGTATACAATGGACATATTTAAAATATGAGTTAGAAAAATGGAGAAAAAGTCAGCAGTGAAAAAATAATTTTGACATTTTATCAGTTTCACTTGTCTTTATTAACTAATTAACCCATAGCTGGGGGTAGAGAATGGAGACGAGTTGGATTCATACCTTTCCCAAGGATATATGCATATAAGAATATAATGAACTCGACTGGAATTAGAACTTAGCTCTCCAATTTCCAATATCAAACCATTATCCACAGCATCACACACACATCCAAGTTGGTATTTCCTAGCTATCTAGGAAATGAATAGGCTTGATTTTGCTTAACTTTGGTGATCATATGAAAACTGATATTTCAACATGATATGTCTGTAAGCTTTGATGAAGAGGAGACTTGTGGTAATAAAGGTCAACTGTAAGAAGACAAAATGTATGGATGTGAGCAAGTAGGACAGCTCAAGCTATTAGATACAAATATAAAATGTCAGAATGAAGCAAGTTCAGAAATTTAAATATCTGAGATTATGATTTAGTGATGCATGTCTTACTAATTAACCCACAGTTTGAGGAGAACTGGTGGAATCATACCTTTCCCAAGGATTATTGCATGTAAGTAAATATAACAAACCTGATTGAAATTCGAGCTTGGCTTTCTGATTAACAATTTCAATCCATTACCTATTACACCACCTGCACATTCAAGCTTACAGCACCTGGTATTCCCAAGCAGTCACCCATCTAGGTACTGACCAGGCATGATGTTGCTTAACTTTGATGATAGTACAGGAGCCAATGTTTCAATGCTATATGGCCATAAGCCACTGATTAAAAGAAAACACAAATACACAAGTGAGTAATATACTAACAACAATATATTTAAATGCAGTTTATATTAAGACTGAGAAGCCATTCCTTCTGTTTACCCATGAAAGGCTTAATGAAAATTGTTTCAAACACTTTATGATGGAATTTGGACAGCAATCTGCACAAAACAGAAAATGTTCTTATTTTGCTTGTTAACTTGTATTTTAAATATATCCATTTTCTAAGCTATAGTTGAATTCTGTATTTCCAACAAAATATTTAAGTATTTCTTTTTGGATACATTATGAATTGTATATTTGGCTTGGCTAACAAAAACCTAAATAATATGTCACAAACAAAATTTTATTTATAAAACGTGTTACCAGCTCTGAGTTAGACAAAACAAATGACAAGTATTTATATTGTCAGAATTTCTGGGATGAGGAGTTATCATTATTTATATTATTTACATGTAAGAATATTGTCCTCATCTTTGTTGTTGTCATCACAATGTTTCAACCATTGTCCACTCCAATCTTCATCAGGTAATTGTTGATCTGGATAGCCTTCAAAGAATTTTGAACTAAACTCTTTATATAATCTATGGAGTGGGGGTAGATTGTTCTTGTTTTGCCTACCATGTCTTGGGATATCTTGTCAGGTTCTTATTTAGTACTGTTCAGTACAGGACAGTAGCATTGGTTTGTGAATTTCATGATAGAGTAATTGAAAGTTCAAACCCTGTACCAAGTAGTGTGTACTTTTTATTCTGTGGAAACAAGGTAAGCAATAACTGAGCAGTATTAAATAAGAAGCAGATAAGATATCCCTAAACATAGAGAGTGCAATGAGACTAATCTATAACAGTGGATTAAAAAAAGCATTCAATTCCAAATTACCTGAATACTACCAAGATCAAGAAACACCTGATGAAGGCTGGAGAACACAATGGCTGAAACGCTGTGATAACAATAACAAAGATGAGGACAATAGTCTGCATGTAAAGAGAGTATTTACTTCATTAACTGTTAGCAATTGTCAATGATGTCCTAAAAATTCAACCATTTTTTTTTTAAATTTAGATGACCTTAGAAGGTAGCTAGTAAGAAGATTCAGAACTGTAGACAAGCAAATCAAAAAAATACTTTGTTAGTAATAAAGAAAAGGAATTTGTGGAGAGCCATGATCATCATGCCCTGAAGAGAGAGAGAGAGAGAGAGAATGCTGAAATTGAAACTGTGGAGAAGGAAAAGCAAACCACTCTACATTCTTTTCTAAGAAGTCATGGTCATAAATCACGGAGATAATAAAGAAAAGGAATCTGTGGTGAGCCATAATTGTCTACATCCTGAAGAGGCATGACATAAAAAAATATATGAAATGAAGTGACCTAATCTGGCATAACTGCTAAAAACAGCAAAGATGTAAAACTATTTATCAGAAAGTGAACAAAGCTGACTGGTCGAAACTCATGAGATGACCTAAGATTTAAATATCAATTCTTAAGTATGTTGCAGTTGATACTTTTGTATCTATGACTCATCATCCTGAGAAGTGAGAGCAAAGATCTCTAATCAACAAATTTTCTGGGTTATTCTGAAACCAATGACTTGTTACTGAAGATTTTCACTTTTCTTAGACTAAAGAACGGAGATCTGAGCTTTTTCCAGTGGTGCCCTATCTCCATATAATTTAAAAAATTTTTTATTATTAAGGATTAGCTTTCCATGGAACAGTGATTTGTAAGCCTGTCTTGTAAACCATTAATATTGTAGTAAGTTTAATCCTCATTGGGTCCCACACATGTGTGACCTTATGTCAGACTAAATTAAACTTTGTAAATATCTATATTTAAGTTATGATACAAGCATATTTAGCATAGTGTAATGTTTTTATAATTCTTCTATTAAAATTTAAATGTATATTTTATATATTGACAAATAAAGTATATATATATATATATATATATATATATATATATATATATATATATATATATATATATATATATAAAATAGGAAAGAACTCGTTAGGTAAATAATCCAAAAGTTCTTTAGTATTTTTTGTTATTATTTTTTAAAAATAGTGCTCGATACAAAAAGTAGAGCATAAATATAATCATTTATTTAAAAATATGATTCCATCGCTACATAAGAGTTCTCATGTTTCAAAACAAGAGCCGAAAACATCAATATAATTATTTGAATTAAAGTACTAAGCTCTGTCCCATCTTCGTTTAAATATTTTTGAATAACTTATTCCTGAAATTTACACATTTTATAAGCATATTCATTATTGAAATTAAGATTACTATGGTAACGGCTAGAGCAATTGTTTAAAGAAAAGGGGCGTAAGGGTTAATAATTTGTATCAATATCTCGGTTACATTCACAGACGTCAAGTTAGGGTAAGGTTGGGGTGTCCAAATTTAAATGAAGTTTTCAGCTCTTGTTTTGGAACATGAGAACTCTCCTGCAGCGTTGGAATCATATTTTAAATAAATAATTATTATATATATATATATATATATATATATATATATATATATATATATAAAAATAAAAAGAAAGAACAGTTAGATTTATAATCCAGAGTTTATAATATAAAAAATAGGACTTAACCATATTTGAAAGCCCCTTTAAGAAAATCCCAATGTATTTTATAAAATAAGAAAATAAATAAATAAAAAAGTTTCATTTTAGATGTGATCGTCAGGCTGCCTGGTGATTGCACCTAGGATGAAACAGCCTGTCACCTCTGAGTGTTGACATCAATGTTCACTTTTATATTTATATTTACATACGCTCTATGTCTGATATTGAGCACTTTATCCCGTAAATCTAGCACACTGTAAAACTATATTTCCTCATATATATATATATATATATATAGGGTGTGTGGCTGAGTGGTTACAATGTTCAATTTCTGACCATGAGACTTGGGTTTGAGCATCACCATGGTTAATTTATTGGGGAGGTGACACCTTGATGTTATTAGTCTGGGGTTATTAGTCTCAGTGCATGGTACCTTTGGAAAGTGCCTGAAAACCATACCATAAGTTGACCCAAGCCTTGTGAGTGAAACTATGCAGATAGAACTGTTGGGAGCCTTCGATGGTTGTGCTAATCACAAGTCATCATGACCGAGTGTTTGAGCATACTAGCACTGTTCAAACTGCTGATCATGACAGATTATGCAATCTCTCCCAGAAACTGTAACTAAGGTTTTACACAGTTGCAGTATAGACCACAGGTGAGCTCTGTAGGTTTTGAACAAACAGAAATGCTTGATGAAAGTGAATTTATACATATTTTGTTCTTGAGAATTTACTACAAAAATACCAAATACTATTTATTTACCATAATTTCTTGAAAATAATATGCATTTTTTTTTTACTGTAAATTACAGGTGATAGTTAGTGGGGGCACATTATAAATAGGTTTAAACAAAAATATTTTTTTCGTTATTGATTTATAATAATAAATACGTACTTGTTCTAAAATAAGAAAGATATTATCCCAATTTTCATTTTAAATCCAACAATAATAATTGTAACTTTTTTGTCAATAAATTTATGGGTAAATAATAATAATATAATAAGCCCAAATTTAATTTGGCGCCACCGGATGAATTCGGCAGTGAATCAGTGAACATTATGGCAGTAATGGAGGACAAATGACCAAAAAAAATCCAATTTTTTCTTGTCGATAACTCCAAAAACGGTATGTTTTTTCATAATTTAATTGTTAATTCGAGTTCAGCATGAACATTTACACGGATTTTAAGAGATATTTAGCGTGCGGGCGTTTGGGCATTAAAAAGCAAATTTACCAATTTATGTTTATCAGTAACCGCATTTTTTATTTGGTGAAAAAATTAAAAAAAAAATCTATAAAAAGGCCAATTTTGAAGAAAAGAGGATATCAAGTTAACAATTTATTGAAATTTTAATTTCCATCATCATCACCACTTTCTCTTATAGAATCAATATCTAAATTGTCATTAAACAAATTATCATTCACAATATTATCTTCATCTGGTTCAAAATTATCTTCGGCCTTTTCATTCTCTTGCCAAAAGGATGTCATCTTCAGAGCCATCCATGGCTGTCGTGAGACAACACTTCTTGAAATCTCTTTTATAACATCCTCACTGACAGAATCCCATTTTGGGGGTAAAATAAAATGTTATATTTCTCAGGAAAATCCCACATGGTATTTTTCAACATTATTTTAGCTGCTTAGTTTCGATTTTATTCCTAATGTCAAGGTCAACAAAATGTCTTTGTAATTATTTTTTTGTACAAAATTTATAGATGCGTATTATACATAGGGAAAGATATATTTCTTAATTTTTGCATCATTTGTTGGGGTACATATTATTTATGTGTGCGTATTATTTCCAAGAAATTACAGTATTTATTAGATTGTTTATTTACAAGAATAATTTTATATTTACAATATTCTAAAAACTAATATAATTGTAATACAATATTTACCTGACCATTCACGAATTTATAAAGTTTTAATCAATTGGCAATTAGCTGATGTTTTGCCAACCATTCCAATAAATAATATAATAAATAAATAGTGTAAATAAATAATCCGATAAATAAATAATGTTTATTATTTTTGTTGTCAAATCTCGAGAACAAAGAAAATGTATAAATTCACTTTCATCAAATGTTTACTTTTTATTACAATATAATCATCACTTTTTAAAAAGGTGGGAAGTTTCATGGCAGGGCACTCAGGCAATATTTATCATTTACCAGTTTATAAAGAAATAAATTTGAAAACAATAATTTATTCATAAATTTTTAAACATTAAGTTATTAGAATGTAAACCAACTCTAAGGAAATCCTTTTTATTTATCATTTTATAAAGCTTGAATCAATTGGCAATTAGCCAATGTTTTGCCAACTATTCCAATAAATAATATAGTAAAAAAAAAAAATGTAAATAAATAATATAATAGTGTTTATTATTTGTGTTGTTAATTCTCAAGAACA